TTTTAAAAAATCAGCTGGATAGCTGAAAAACCTCTGATATTAGAAGAAAAAAATTAGTGATTACACTTATTTTACTTCATTAATAAACATGTATTAAGCCTAATAAATACTGGGCACAATGGTAGGCTCTGAAGAGCTGAGATTAGATAGAATCACTACCTTCAAACAAAGCAACAACCATTTCACTAGCCCAACAACAGTGACTAATGTTAATTGAATGCTTCTTATATTCTAGGCCCTGAATTCACTATCTCATTTAACCCCCACAAACCTAAGAGTAACAAATAAGGAAGCTGATATTTTATAATGTTTTGACAAATAAGGCAACAATTTTGGGAAATTTAAATAACTTGTCCAAGGTCACCTAGCTCGTAAGTAATGAAGTCAAAACAGAACTAAGGTAGTTAGACAACTGACATACTTGGAAATCTAGTGTGTCTCCACAGGGAAAGGGAGCCAGGTAACACTATTTGCAAGGCTGCACTGAAAATTTTTATTCTTAGTGAAGTCTTGAGTAAAGATATTAGATCAAATTCCATCATAAACAGGAATCACATATGGTGTTCTGCTTTAAAAAGCTGAATAACTATTTTACAGAAGTCTACCAAATTATTTAATTGCATTTCTTCATTCAAATAAAATCCCTTCATTGCCATTATTGTTGTTGCTGATAAGATAAAAATACATTTAAGTTCTATACAGTAATATGTATGTAACTTTATATAAATAGGAGTATTAAACTTTGCTGCATCTTGAGGCTGTTAGGTCTTTTCCATTATCCTGGGAACATTCTTGCTCAGGTCACTTCTAAAATTTAAGCAAAAGGGAACAGTGAATGTGGCAAATCAGATGGATCCTTTCTTTCCCACAGGTTGGTTTCATATAACCATTCTTTCAAAAGTTCATTGACTCACAGTTATGAAACCACCTTCAGTTGATATAGTCTTTCTCTTAGGTCAGCAGATACATAGTCAATCTCCAACAACCAACAAACACTTATCACGTGTAAGCAGAGTAATAGAAGTTACAGCCTACAAAGAAGTGGGAAGTAAGCTCACAACAAATTGGGAGACAAACAAGTACACTCATGAAAATTAACTGTAGGTTTTATAATGATAGCTAACATCACATTTCCCACACATGAATGACAGAAGCCTCAGAGATTAACAGAGCTTGCAGCAAGGTTCACAAAAGGTCTGAACCCACAACCAGTAGCAACATCTTTGAAATCCACAGCTCCTGAAAGTTAGCAGTCCATCGTCTCTGTTCACCCCTGCAACCCTTATTGCCTACTGCTTCTTTATGAAAAACCCAGTGTCACCCATTGCAATCATTTCTGTCTAGAACATTTCTGCCTTTTCACACCCAAAAGAGGTCCTCCTTTGCAAGATGGGCCCACAGATTTCCACTGGGCTAAATTACTGTGGAGACCAACTCCTTCCCCTGACTAGGAAGTGTGCGAACAAACCTGACCATTTCTTGGGTAGCGAGGGAGGGCTCAGCAGTTCCTTGCTGTAAGGTGACTCTTCCCAGGGTAATCCTCAGAAGCCCTGGAAATAGAAGTCTCCCCATACCTTGAAACTGTCTCGTCAAGAGTAAAAAGTGTCATTTTAAAAGTTTCTCCCCAAAGTGCTAGAAAATGTCTCAATAGCTCTTTGATATGGATGGCAAAGAAAAGAAGTGTAGCTGGACTCCTCATTAGATGCCTTGGCTTATTATATTTCCCAGCTAGTCCCACAGCAAACATGTTCTGTGGTCAAATAAGTCTGGAAAATTCTGAAAATTTGGGGACTTACACTGCAGGAAAATTATTTTAAAACACTAGAAAATTCTGCAGTAAAAAAATGTTTAACCTTTGTTTAACACCGCCCCCACACACCTTTTTTACCCCTTTGTAACACGAGTAACATTTCTAAGAGAGTTTGTTGGTAATCGTCCTTTAGAGTTAAGAAATGTTCATGAATATAAATACCTGTTCAGGATGCTTGGATGATGGATTTCCTTCTCATGACCAACTATTGTAAGAGAATCAGTTTCTGCAAATTGCCCTTCATGACAGAAAGTTCACACACATCCTCTCACTGCCCTCCATTCATTATCGGGAACCTAAAACAGAAAATTTGATGTATTACAATGTAAACAGAAAGGTCAGTCTTGTCTATCAAGACAGAAGCTTGTTAGAGAAACGGAACTATGCCCCTTTTCTAATGCTCTGAGTCATCTCCTCAGGGTAGATTACTTCCTAACTTCTGGAAAAATAAAGGGACAGGTAACAAAGTCCTTGCCATTTACAGAGGAAAGCATATAAAGTACCCAATGTTAATTTCTGGATGCTGAGAGATTTATTGACTGATGGGGAACTGAAAGGAAGCCCTGCCCCAAAAACCCCTGAATAGGAGTGTGGTTGCCCAAAGGTAGTGTCCTGGGCTTTTTGAGCATTCCACAGGAGACCCTGCCATTGTCTTGTACAGCTCCTATCACAACTGGCATTTGATACTCATTCTATAGAGGTCCATTGGTGAATGTTACCAGTGATTTTGGCTCTCAGTTCTTTTTTTTTTTTTTTTTAAATATTTTGTTGATTTTTCACAGAGAGGAAGAGAGAGGGATAGAGAGTTAGAAACATTGATGAGAGAGAAATATTGATCAGCTGCCTCTTGCATACCCCCGACTGGGGATGTGCCTGTACCCAAGGTACATGCCCTTGGCTGAAATCGAACCCGGGACCTTTTAGCCCGCAGGGCAATGCTCTATCCACTGAGCCAAACTGGTCAGGGCTGGCTCTCAGTTCTTGAGTTTGGTACAGAAAGAATTCAGAGCCAAGAACTCTAGCACAAGAGGAAGTTTATTTAGCATGCAAAGCAAAAGCACACTCACAAATATTTCAGTTAGCAATTTGAAGATTGTCTTTGCCATCAACTTTGCTAGTTGAAGCACACATTGGGGTACTCCTCTAAGCGCAAGGAGATGCAGACAGCAGAGATAAGTTCAGCAGTTACCTACTATTTCTGATATTTCTTTATTCATTGGATTGCTGTGCCATGTCTTTTTTAATTTGAGCCATACACTATATTATATTTTATTTAAATTGGTTCTCCAAAGACTCCTTTTAAAAAGTTATTCCTACATGTAAGATAAAATCCGTCAGTGGTGATTTTTATGGTATTTAGCTTACTGTACATGTAAGTCCTCTACATCATGTTATTTCTCCAGTCACACATCTGTAAAATTACTTTGAGAAGCACATAACTCGATACTTTATCAAAAGTACATTCTGGCCCAGCCGGGTGTGGCTCAGCAGTTGAGTGTCCTGCCAGGAACCAAGAGGTCACCAGTTTGATTCCTGGTCAGTGCATATGCCTGGGTTGCGAGCTTGATCCCCAGTAAGGGGCGTACAATCAATGATTCTCTCTCATCATTGATATTTCTGTCTCTCTCTTCCTCTCCCTTCCTCTCCCTTTCTCTCTGAAATCAAACATATATATATATATATATATATATATATATATATATATATGGCATGTTCCACAGTGCAATGATCCGACTATGGGCTGACTTATCTGGAAACTGCCAGAATTTCTCTTTTTACCTTCCTTTTATTTCTAACAGCAGTTGTAGATTGGCATAGAGCCAAAATGGGAGTTGAAATGTGCATTGCATCATTTGTCATGTTAGCTACAAAGGAAGCAGCAGAGGTACCAGAAATGAAAACGAGGAAATTTCTGATAAACAACTCTGATGGTTATCTAGAAGGTGAATTGAATCATAGATATCAGAGTTTGACACTGCATTTTGAATTGCACAATTGGAGATAACTGCCTCCCACCTAGATAATAGTATCAATTTAATTCAAAATGTGAGTGTGGTTTTATACTCATTCCACTCTTTGGTAGTGCCAGAGAGCATTTATTTATCAGGCTCCCATGGAGCACATTTGAATTTGTAAAAAGAAATGATTAATTAAAAAAACAACAACCTGGGTGCCCTTGATATGGATACTATCATAGTATGTGGAAGTAAAATGAATGAATTTACCTTTTAACAGGCTCATATGCATCAGTGCAAACATGCCCTGTTATCAAGCAGTTTAAACCTTTTCCAATATAGAAGAGGAAGTTAATCAATGCTTTTCTCGTTGGATTTGCAACTAGATAAAGATTGTTTAACTCAGGCACCTCTCACTGGTCCTTTCTCTAATTGGTAATTTAAAAAGTCCACAATTACTGAGAGAAGAGACAACGGAGGGGCAGTAAGCTTCTGGAAGAACTTAAAATCTTTGCTGCACCCTAGACTGTCCCTGGTTTGTGCCCCTTATCATGGGAGTAGCTCTTGCCATCATTTAAAAAGCTTGACCTGCATTTTAGGAGACTTCTGGTATTATTGGTTTTGCCTCTGCAGACTCATAATTCCATTACCTGTTATTGGGAGGAAAAAGCAAATAGAGGCTTAAAACTGAGTGCCTCTACACTTCCATCTCCTTGTTCTTCATTCTTATCCAGGCAGGAAGGCCATGGGACACTTTGTCTCTTAGCAAAGGAATATTTTCAGATATCGAGGTATTGCACAAGACAACTGGTCAGAGAAGTTAGGAGGGCAAGGGAAGAGGAGGATCAGGAGCCACCCCCTGTAAGTGGTTGCTGCTTTCCCTGCAGGACTGTGCATTGATAGACTTCCCTTTCCTCCAACTCTCACATTCTCTGTCTCTTTCTCTGATTCTTAAATTGGCCTTTCCTAGTAAAAGGTCAATATGTTTTCACGCTTGAGAAATTTCATTCAAGAATTTTTGTCAATGGACAAGTCATAAGAAGTTCTTCCATTTTAGGGCTGGTTGACGTCACCAAGGAGGCGATAAATATCTGTTGATATAATTGGATGTGAGATTCAGTGTTGAGAGAGCAAAAATTCTGCCCCTGGTTTCCTGGCAGGGCCCAATGATTTATGCAGGAGCAGAGGCAGCACGCAATCGAGCTGTCAAGAGAGCGTCAGCTTATTAGGCAAATGCTGCGTGATTTCTGAAGAGGATCGACGCTATAAAATCCCACTCCAGGCTCTGGTGTGGAGAAACTCAGAGCCCAAGTCCGTTGAGAGACTGAAGAGAAAGAGAAGAGGGAAGAAAAAACCCACAGTGGAAACAGAAAGGAGAAAGAAAGAAAACCCCTGAAAAAGCCTGGAGACATTAATCTGCAGCAGCGCCCCGGAAGGTAGGGAGCCTAGACGGAAACGCGGCTCCAACTTTGCACTGCCTGAGCTGCAACCGAGCTCCCTGCGGAGCCCTGGCCCTGTCTTTCCAGTGTTGTGTGTGTGTGTGTGTGTGTGTGTGTGTGTGTGTGTGTGTGTGTGTGTGTTTGCTGACTGTGCCTCAAGATCCCGATAGAAGCTGGGATGTGGCAAAAGCAAACTTAGACGGCTACTCATCGTTACCCGAACTTCCAGTTATTCCTTTCTGGCTGTGTAGATGAGCACCCCATTGATCCCGATCCTCGAAAGCAGGGCGCTGGAGCAGGGATGGATGAGGAGGAGGACGAGACGCAGCTTTTCATTTGGAGGAAAAGGCTGAAACATCCGAAAGGGAGTTGGAGTTAAGAGCGGTTGAGGTCTTAAATTTGTAGATCCTCTCCAGAGCTCCGGAAATCGGGTTTAGAGATCGTTAGGAAGGGGATTCGGGGACTGTCCCTTTGGGGGTTTCGGAAGGAGAGGGGTCATTCCAGCCTGGAGAGGGGGCTGAGCTTTGGTGCCTAGCCCTGCAGGCGCCCGCTTTCCTGCTCCCCCTTTCACTCCAGCTCTGTAAGTCCTACCTCGGGAGCTTCAGAACCACGGACAGCGCCCGCCCGAGCCCCCAGCCAAGTCTGCCTCCTGTGGGAAGAGGACATCCTCCCCCGCCACACACACACACACACACACACACACACACACACACACACACACACACACACGCACGCACACGCACACGCGCACACACACACACACACACCCCGCACCTCCCCAGTTGAGCTAAACTGTGATCAACTCTTTCTCTCTTTCCTTCTCCTAGTGCTTCTAACATGAGACTGCCGCTGCTCGTGTCCGCGGGCGTCCTGCTCATGGCTCTCCTGCCCTGCCCGCCATGCAGGGCCCTCCTCATCCGGGGGCCTGTCCCAGGCGCCCGACAGGCCCCACAACTTCCCCAACCCCTAGATTTCTTCCAGCCGCCGCGGCGGCGGCAGGTCCTTCCAGTTCAGCCGGTCCCACTCACCACGGGGGAAGAATACTTCTTCCGCCAAGGTAACCTCAACGAGAGCCCCGCTGCTCCCCTCTGGTCAGCCTCCTCGCCCCTCGCCCGCCGCAGCAGCAGCCACCTTTCTCCTCACAAGGTAGCCGCCAACTTTTTCCGCGCATTGAGGCAGCTGCGATCGCTTCCCCAGCGCCCTCTCAATAGCCCTGCGAGTCCCGCTGAGCGTGGTGCCGAGAGCGCCCTCAGCGGTCGCCAGGAGTCCCTGGAAAGGGAGAGGCGATCCAGGGAAACTACCACCTCGCTGGATCTCACCTTCCACATCCTCAGAGAAGTCTTGAAAATGGCCAACGCGGAGAAGTTAGCACAGCAAGCTGAAAGCAACAGGAAACTGATGGAGATTGTTGGGAAATGAAACGGTGCGTTTGGCCAAAGCGATTCTGCATTTAGCGCAAAAATAAAAAATACAAAGTATTCTGTACCATAGCGTGGCTCTGATACCATTTGTTTATTTTTATATAGCTTGAAACGTAGAGGATATATAACAAGAGCACCTGTTCTCTTTAATTAGAATGCACAAAGTGTATTCATGTGCAGTAATAGCAACAAAATAGTATTTGTATTGTCTACTTTTAGTTTCCATTTCCAGGTGTCTTTAATGGTGATTAAAAGAGTATAGACCCAGGAGGAAATGTTTTGAAGAAGCAGACAGAAATAACCCAACTGATTTTGCTGTGGTCTGAACCAAAGAGAATGTCATTCTCTTTGGTGGGTGAGAGAAATCATGTAAGCTCTTTGAATCAACTTTTCCTTGTAATTGTTTCAGTAATAAAACATTCTTACAATCCGTGGTCAATTTGTTTGTGTAATAGAATGTTCAATAGTTATCCTACATAATAAAAGGCTAATATGCAAATTGACCAAACCACAGAACCACCTGTTGCTATGATGTGTGCTGACCACCAGGGGGCAGACACTCAACGCAGGAGCTGCCCCCTGGTGCTTAGTTTGCTCCCACAGGCGGAACTGGGCTCAGCCAGAAGCCCGGCTCACAGCTGGCAAGCTCGGCAGAGCTCCTGCCTCCCCAGCAGTGCTAAGGACCCTTCCAGGGATATCTGACTGCTGGCAGGTGGACATCCCCTGAAGGGTCCCAGACTGTGAGAGGGCGCAAGCTGGGCTGAGGGACCCCTTCCCCCACAATCCCCCAGTGCATGAATGTCATGTACTGGGCTTCTAGTATTTTTAATAATTGCTGCAAAGGTAATCATGACTTACTTTTGCTTTTCAATGATAGTAGTAGAAATAGTCTCAGTTATTGGACTCCTCCAAACTTACTTAAATACAAGAAAAGACAAAATCCCTTGCATTTTTTTCTACTACAAATGCAAAGATAAACCAGTGGCTAACACAGATCCTGCAGTCTCCTTGGGTTCATCTCTGTACGTCAGATTACTCTTCTAAGATAGAGTTAAATAATTTGAGAAGTTGCTTCCAGCTCTAAGACTTGCGAATTCTATACATGGAAGATCTATTCATAATGGAAATAACATTTAGCCCTGACTAACTATAACATGTAAACTAATTGGGGAGGGTTGGGGCAGGAGGAAAGGGAAAGAGGTGAATGGTTGAGGAAGGGCACTTCTACAAACTATAGGGCCAAATGCCTCATTTTTTTTTTTTCTATGAGAAAGTCTCATATATTATTCAGCCATTATTTTGCTATCATAAATAATTTTTCTAAGCTATTTTCCAATGCCTACTTCTAATGGAAGGGGTGAAAAAAGACAGGCTTAGGAAATTTTAGACACTAAGGGGACCATGGAAGGAGCACAGAGCTGCTGAGCAGCAGAGGGTATATTTCCATAGAAAAGGGGAGCTGAAAAACTGCAACAGGTACATTTCCATAGACTGAGGGAGCTGGAAACAGCAGAAGGTCTATATTTATAAAATGAAGGGAAGGAAGCCCCTCATCCAGAAGGAGAAGAAGAAAGCCCAAAGGAAATAGGAAAACAATAAGGGAAGAGGGGAGGAAAACCTCACATGTCCCATGTGTGGTTTGACCTTGGAACTCAGGAGTTACTATAGTAACCAGTCTAAGGGGATAGTGACCAATCAGAGGGGATATCAAGGCACAAAGATGTACAGCCTTTATAAACTGTGGAAACAGGGACTCGGTGGGACTCTTCCCCCCCCCCCCATGTGGGAGTCTCTATTTGTTCTTTAATAAATTTCCACCTTTGCTATACCACCTTCTGTCCATGGACAACGAGCCCGGGAACCATTCTGCCCAGAGGAACACCAAGTGTTCTGGTCCAAAAATTCCGTTTCACTACAACATGGATGAACATTGAGGACACTGGCTAAATAAAATAAGCCCATCAGAAAAAGACAAATACTGTATGATTCCACTTATATGAGATATCTAAAGAGGCAAATTCATAGAAACAGAAAGTAGAATGGTGGTTGACAGTGGCTAGGGGTAGAGGGCAATGAGGGGTTGTTTCAGTTTGGGTACAGACTTTCAGTTTTGCAGCATGAAAAAGTTTTAGCGATTAATTGTACAACAAAGGTAATATACTTAACATCACTGAAATGTAATTTAGAAATTGCTAAAATGGTAATCTTTATGTCATATATTTTTACCACAATTAATTTTTTTTTAATTAGGAGACTTCACATTAAAATCTGAATTTGTAGGTTCTCTTGACAAAATGGAAATGTAGCACCCAGAAATAACCTGCATGGAGTGCTGAGCAGTGCTACTCCTTTGAACTGAGTTCTCTCTCTCTCTCTCTCTCTCTCTCTCTCTCTCTCTCTCTCTCTCTCTCCCTCTACCTCCCTCCCTCCCTCCCTTCCTTCCTCCCTCCCTCCCTCTCACCTGCTTTGCTTTCCACAGTGCCCACAACCCCCTTTGCCTCTCCGATGCAAGCCTGGTTTCAGTGGCTACTTATCATTGTGCTTGTACAATTGCTGTGCTCAGAGCAGACTTAAGAGGAAAGCAAATTATATCTTGTATTTATGCATCTGTCAGCATTTTCTTTTACTTGACCTGCTTTTCCATTAATGTTACCTTCTTAGTCAGAAGGGCAACACCAGCTTGTTGCTCTTAATAGAAGGCTAGGTTTAGTAGGAAGATGTCAAAGAAAAGAGAGTAAAATGCTCAGTGGAATATTTGACTTGATTTTTATGCTAAGTGTGATGAATTTTTTTAAAGCCAACATGTTTCTTGTGGCAAGATTCTTGAAAATCAAAGCATGAAATGCTTTCATTGTTCAATGAGGCCAGTTGTGTTCCTGGGCATTTAGCATAGGGAATATAACTGGGTGCAGATTGGTGAACATGCTCTTGCTTTGGCTTGTGGGCAATGCATTTACCTAAATGGTCCACCAACTGAACAAAAGTCAACAGATGCTTTCCTGACATTCATTCTGGCACAAGTCTGGGTAGCCACATTAGGAGGAGGATTATTATATTTTATATTTTTAACCAACCCAAAGTAAAAGGGTGAGCTCTGCCAGGTCATTTTGATCAGTAATCAGTGTCCTCAGGCTGCCTCTATGCTTCCTAATACTCCATGAGTTGCCAGCCTCAGCCCTTCCCCAAATGATCATCCCCTATATCACCCATGATCCTGATCCATTAAAATGTATCAGTCTTGTGTCCCCTTCCCTCGGGTTTATCCAAGTCTAGTAATTAATCTGACTGACTGAATTGCAAGTCACATATTAATGGGTGACAATGGCTTGATGTACACTCCTGCAAGATAACATTTTGCCTAGAAATGTTCATGTCTTATCCTATGAAACTCATTCATTTTTTCTTAACCCAGGAGAATGTACGGTGTATTCTGTTTGGTTTGTTTGTGGACTTTGTTGCCATGACTGTTGTGGACATGTTAGCCACCATGCTAGGCCACTGACAGGGACGCTAGGGACAGTGAGGAAGTTTGTGTCCAGACCTTGTACTTGGGCCTCTGTCTCCTCTCTGTTGCTGTGAGTGTGAATCACAAATCCAACCTGACAGCAGGATCTGGTAACCACTGCATGTGAAATGCCAGTCTTTCTAGGCCAATTCCGAGGAAACCTTGCCTGTTTATAATGAAATACATTTGCCTTAAAGCAGTGGTTCTCAACCTTCTGGCACTTTAAATACAGTTCCTCATGTTGTGACCCAACCATAAAATTATTTTCGTTGCTACTTCATAACTGTAATGTTGCTACTGTTATGAATTGTAATGTAAATATCTGATATGCAGGATGGTTTTAGGCGACCCCTGTGAAAGGGTCGTTCAACCGCCAAAGGGGTCGCGACCCACAGATTGAGAACCGCTGCCTTAAACGAATGTGGATAGGAGGGGTAAGGTTAGACTTGAGGCTTCTGAGTGGGCAACCACCCTGCACCTGCTAGGCTGAGTCAGAGAATCAAAGCCAGATGCTGGAAACAGGTGTGAGTAGGACCTCTGAAGTCACATTTAGAATGCTCATTCAGAAAGACTAAACCGAAGCATTGGCCTGCTCCCCTACTTAGCATTCCTGACCGTCAGACCCTTGGATAGCTCAAGCATTATGGATTCCAGACTGGAAAAGAAAGCACAGCCAAGAGCCTGGGCCAGTTGTTATGTTGAGAAGTAACTGAGGCAGGTCTGTGACTCACACAGGCAAGAGTCTAAGCCCTGGAAACTTTCAGTTCTGACATTGTGGGCATTTCTCTCACAGGAACACAGACACTTCTGCTTGGTGGCAGAGCAACCAAGATATGTTAGGAATGAAGCACAGAACCATGAAAATATAGCACAGTCTCCATGAAAGCTAGAGGAAGAAGAAAATAGGTATTCCCCTACTCCAAAAGGAGCTCTGGAAGGAAAAACACTCGCTAAAAAGCATTTTTTTTCCCTTGAGAAGATTTATAGCTATACACACTGAGGGGATGGGCGAAGGGAATTAATTTGGGAGCTTCGTTGCCATTAGCCAATTCCTTCTGCTAAGGGAAGATCTGAAGCCAGAGTAATTTCCTCAGGCTTATGAACCAAGCAGAAATTAAATTCACTCACTTTTTCTTAACCCAGGGGAAGATGTCCAGTGTATTCTGTTTGGTTTCCTTTAAACATGGTATATAGGAATTGATGGGGTCAGGTGGGGAGCTGGAAGGAAGTAAAACACATGTATCACAGTCTAGCAAAAACTTAAAAAGCCAGCTGTTTTCTCAGATATGCACCTGACAGTCGTGTGTCCAGTGTAGTGTGTGTGTGTGTCCTCACTGTTTCAGAAAGAACTGAATTTCAAAGAACTGCTAATTAGATAATTAATTCTTCAGTCAAGGGCTTCCTCTGTCTTGTGTTAGACAGATAGGTCAGACAGGTTCTCAAAAGCTGTGGGAGGTGATAGTATTATTATACCCAGTTTACAGGTGAGAAAACTCAGTCTCAGAAAGGTTGAAGAACTTGCTCCAAGTAATTCTAAGATAAAGTGCTGAGAGTTGTTAATAGTGACCACAAATTCAAAGAGAAAGGGGTTTCTGGTGTTGTTGAGCAGATGAGACTCAGGATGGCCCACTCCACCCTGGAAGTCAGCTAGAGAGGCAGGAGGCCAGCAGCATGGGGTGCAACTGCAGGATAGAAATGCTCTCATTTGCAATAGACAGTCCCATCCCTGCAAGTAGTGGAGGCCAGAAACGCCCTCTGCCCTCTGGAGGCTGTGCCAATGTGTCATGAATAGTGAATCAAAGCAAGGGAACCTTTGGTCACACTATTTTTGCTTCAGTCACATCAGCACAGGTGAAGTGGGGATTCACCCACTTTCCCTAGATGTGGGCTTGGCCTCTATTGTGCTGTACACACACACTCCAT